CTATCTCTTTGCAAAAAATGCTTCCAAACTTTTATAGAACTCTTTCAGTGCACTCAAATCTCTTCTTCCTACAAGGCTCCCTTGAGTGAGTCACTAGGGAACATCACACTTCCCTAAGGGAATCTTTGTCGACTTCCTTGCCAGTGGAGTTAATATGTTGCACCTTACTTTAATTGTATATTTTTTCTTGTTCTGGAAATTTCTGGTGGATTAGGGTTAGCAACTCATCCAATTTTTCTTCTTCTCAATTAAGAAGCTGTTATCTCCATGCCAATTTCCATATCCAGACACCAGCTATTCTCCTATTTTATTTACTTTTCTTCCCTTAGTTGTAGGTAAAGAAAACAGATAGGTGGGTTTGATCCAAAATAATTTGAATCAATTACTAAGCGAAAGCACAAACCCACGCACAAACTCGTAATCTGATAAACTTTGTTTGCAATTCAAGCTGTTTATGTTTTTTGGGTGGTGTTAGGGAAAAAAGTCAATTTTTGCTTTAGTCTTTGGCGAAAAGTCTTCTGCCTTTAAGGAATAGCCACTGTTATTTGATTTCAAAACCCAAGTTTATTTGATTCAAGTTAAGGCTTGGGTCACTGATTAAAACTTTAGTTGAGCCCGTGGATCAGTTCAGAAGAAGGGTTTAGTCGGTTTACTATTAAAAAGTATAGAATACCTATTATAATCCTATTACAATAAAACGCACCGTTTCTTGAAGGCTGTCCTGACAAATTTATTTATTTATTTTTTATCAAGACGGCCAGTTTTTCGTTTTTCCTAAATTGACAGTTAATAGTAAAAGCCTACTAGTATTTAATTTTAAGAGTATTTATATTTGTTTATTAATTCAAATGAAAAGAGTTTGATTTTTCTTAAATAAAATTTTTTCTCTCTTAATAGGATTCGACGCGATTTAATTTTAAATTAATTAAGATCCAATATGATTATCGGATACTAAGAAATTAATATTAAAAAAAACCACTTTTACTCTTTTTTCAAATAAACTGTAAATATCTAAATATTAAAATATCCTTGTTTTCTTGAATTAAAAATATATTTTTTAAAAGAAAATAGTGTATATTAATT